ACACACACACACTCTTACACACTTACACACTTTTTCATAAGGTTTGCACAAATTCCTTTATCTGTGCATACTGTGTGCTCATGTGGAAGTCAGTGAATGCATCAGGGCCAGGCCTTAGGGAAATCTGTCTCTGGGAGCAAATTATGTAATTCTATACTTGAGCTGTTGATGCTGCTGTGTCTGGGAGGAGAAGTTGGTTTCATGTGCAGTTTAAGAAAATCAACATGTCTTCATCCCCCTGTGCCAAATGGCTGACCATCATACAGAAATTAAACTTTTCAGAGTCATATTCTGGAGTGTGTTTGCTCCAGTGAAAGTGTTTTTTTTTTTTTCTGGTTTCCTCTGAGGTTGCTGTGTACAGGAATTGTGTGTTCAGTGATTGCATGTGATGTGCCGTTTAATTGTGTTAAGGAGTTAATCTGTTGTAGTCATCTTTCAATAAGCGCTCTGCTTTTGAAGTCACTGGAGCGTTCCCCCTCGCTAATTCCCAACACTCCTTTTATCTCTCCCTCTCCCTGCTCCTTTCTTCTATCTCTATAAATGTGTAACCCCTCTCTCCGTCTCTCTCTTCAGCAAACTCAGACGCGCTGAAAGCCATGGTTCATGAGAACAGCATTGATTCTGACGGGTAAGTGCGCTCTCTTGTTGTTCTCCCTGTCTCGACCAGCAGATGGCACCATATGCCTCCGTGAAAGCCTGCTGGTGTCGCCACTGACTGAAGTGAGAGTAGCCAGCCAGAGCAGGAAATGAACACGCAAGGCAATCAGGCCACATTTCTTCTGATACTTTTCCAGATTGGCAAGGTTTGATAGAGGGCGAGCAGCTGGGGAATATCCCGAAATGCCACTGTGCCCCATATCACTGTATTGTGAGATTATGAAAGCATATTGAGCGCAGTTGTTGGCATGTTTCCTTATTGGATTCCTAGCCAGGATACAGCGAGTGGGACTCTGACTCCACTTAAAAGGGAGTATTGGGCTAAGAAACTTTAGTTTAACTGCAGCCTGCATAAACCGTTTATTTAGAAGAAATTCCAGCCAAATTCCTGCTTCTCAAATGTAAGAATATGACGCTTCTCCCTGTTGTATCAGCCTGTAAATTAATAATCTTGTTTTGGACAGTTTGTCGGACAAAAGAAGCAATTTGGATGCAGTACTCTCTAGGAAATGTTGACTTGGATCAAAAGATTTGAAAAAATAATCAACAGATTGATAGATAATGAGAATAATTAAGTGTTCAACTAGACACAACAGGCTTGTCAAGCTTTTGATGTCTCTATATGTGTATTGTGGTGTGGATGGGGTTTCAGTAAGAGCGACATTCTGCATCTGAAGAGTTTTGTAAAACTAAAAACGCAAGAGCAAAAGTGTTATGTTAAAAAAAACCTTCATGATAGCACAACACTGTTGATGCTACTTTATCAGAGCTAACGTTAGCAGCTCTGTCCTGCTCTTTGCTTTGGATTTGGGGACGTTTACACTCCCGACAACCCCAGACGAGGTAGTTTAACATTCCTTAGCCAAACACGTTGGTTAGCCCTCATCCTACGAGCCTTTTAGCCTGTAACCATAAAACTGAAACACACTTTTTGAAAATGCAAACAAGTAAATCAATCTTACCTCTGTATGTTAGCGAAGCAACCAAAAACTGAATTCTGGTTTTACATTTTTCCTCCTTATACTTACGATAACTACGAGAACCCCCATCTCTACCCTGCAATACAAGATGCTGTTTCTTTACATGTATCATCAACTAGTGAGGATGCTGACTAGATATCAGAAATCTCTAACTAGCCCCGATCATTGGCTAGAAATGAGAAGCTGCTTTTATCTTCCGCTTCCTCTCCTCTTTTGAAAATTGAACTTTGAGTACTGAGCTAACAGTCAACAGTTGCTCTAGGCTGCAGGATCCTTCGCTAGTATACAATCTGTAGGCCTCAACGTGGAGCTCAGTGAATCCTTCACATTTTGACATTCACATCTCAAATCAAAGGCTGCCTAGCTTGTCACTTTGAACCAACCCCGCATCATAAGAACAGGAGCTGGTGGAACAAGCCGAGATTAGACGTCTTCACGTCGCTTTGCCGCCGAGATAAGTGGAGAGGGAGTTAGATCGACAGATTGGAGGAGGAGATGCCTTTGACAGAAGAGGAGTGCGAGCAAATCGAGTTAGCGGAGTATGTTTTCCCCTCTCTCTCTCCTCCTGTCATCTTACTTGTCCCGCTACATATTGTTCTGGGAGTGAAGGAGAGAGATAAAGAGGGTAGAGATGTTCTCCTTTGTTTGGAGGAAACCGTGTGGATAAATGGTAGGAGCGTTGCCTCTGCCAAGGATTAAGTACTGAGGTATTCTGCTCAGTCACATTAGGTGTCCTAGAAAAAAAAAACAACAAACAGCAGAAATCTGCAGTCGCGCACATTTCCTCGCCGTCACTTTCATGTGTCTGGCTTTTTCAGTTTCCTCTCCAAATCTATTTTTCCACATATTTCCAGCCCTTCTTTCCTTTCACTTTATTTTGTTCAAAATGCTCTCTGTAGTACTCCCTCTTTCCCTTGCTGTTACTCCTCATATCTTCCTCTCTCCCAGCCAGGTTGGGCAGTCTGCCAGTGGATCACTTAGAGATGGTGGATTGGGGGGAGGGGGGTGTATCAGTGGGGGTAATTTATGGGACACTTAAGGGGCGGAGGGAGACAGACAGACAGGCAGGAAGAGAGGGAGGAAAAAGGAGAGTGGGATGGATAGTCTATAAGGAGGAGAGTGACTGTAGTTTGGCCAGGGCTCGCTATCTGCCTCTCCAGATTTGGTACTTAACTTCCCCTCGCCTCAGTGCTGCTCTCCCCTTCAGTTCTCCACCCTCCACCTCTCCACCGTCTCTCAGTCCCCTTTTCCACAAGATGCTCGGCTCACATCTGCTGATCTCCCCTT